GTTGATTTTTAGCACATCCTAGATCCTTGATTTACACTCACCAAACTAGAAAAACATTAAAAAAACAGATCTTAGTAAAGAATCATGAAATTCCGATAGATATCTATTCTGATAGGAAAACTCTAGCCGCGTATCGTTCGCTTTAAATGTGGTTTTTGTAAGTTTGTACCGGTCATGCGTAATGATCGGGTGTGCCATGGATAGATTTTGAACAAGCAACGGGCCTATAATGTTCATTCGCCAGTAAATATTAATTTTACTTTAGTCTTTGTAGTCTATGTTTAAGATCCCTAATGTGAGAAACAAAGGGTGAACCAAAGTTTTAGTTTTGAAGTGTCGCATTGGCATATTCAGCACATTTGAATTGGCTTCAGTGACGTGAACTCCTTTTATTCCCCTCCTCTCTCACAGAAGCCAACATGTGTGACGACGAAGAGACTACCGCCCTTGTGTGCGACAACGGCTCCGGCCTGGTAAAGGCTGGCTTCGCCGGAGACGATGCCCCCAGGGCCGTGTTCCCCTCCATCGTGGGCCGCCCCCGTCATCAGGTAAACAGCAAGAAAAACTTCTAATAGGTTAGACTTTAAGGAGAGACTAAGAGGCAGGTAATGACCACACCTAAGACAATTAATTATCTAATACAGACAAACAGAATTAGGTTTGAACTAATTTTTAAGACAAAGAATTAACATTCTTAGAGGCAGATATACTGTTTTAGCAGATGAATCTGCTGGATCCTGTTTCTTTAAGACTAAATTAGTCACAGAAGAACTTCATTTACACAATCACTCTGTCTGTGGCCCACACTCTTAATTGGCACATTTACACAATGGCCATAAGGCCTGTCGAATATTTCAATCTGGCCAGAAGACGATCATATCTTCCTATGGATTATCTCTAAATCCCCTGCTAACCTTTCCATTATCATGCCGTCTCTTCCACGTTAGGGTGTCATGGTTGGTATGGGTCAGAAGGACTCCTACGTCGGCGACGAGGCCCAGAGCAAGAGGGGTATCCTGACTCTGAAATACCCCATTGAGCACGGCATCATCACCAACTGGGATGACATGGAGAAGATTTGGCATCACACCTTCTACAATGAGCTGAGAGTGGCCCCCGAAGAGCACCCCACCCTGCTCACTGAGGCCCCCCTGAACCCCAAGGCCAACAGGGAGAAGATGACCCAGATCATGTTTGAGACCTTCAACGTCCCCGCCATGTATGTGGCCATCCAGGCTGTGCTGTCCCTGTATGCCTCCGGCCGTACCACCGGTGAGACTGACAACAACAATCAACTGCCACTAGTGATACAGACGTAACTTCCTAAACAGATACAACACATAGCGTAATTTTCCTTTATTATAGAATAGCAATTAATTGACAATACGTATTAAAAACTGCATAGAAATTGCATCACATACTATTAACTGAGCTATTGATATGGAATTTCCCCACTGAATCCTTTTTACGCACAACGTTTACGCACTGTCGACCAGCCTTTCTGAGACTATGTCTGCTAGTTTATGGCCCTTGCGATACACTAACCAGCGTGTATTTATAAATTCCCCTTCAAACACCCACGTTATCTATAATATTACGCACCAAACTGGAATCTTTGAGGACTCCTTGTCACCTGTCGAACTTTAAACATTTGCCTCTCCTTAGGTATTGTGCTGGATGCTGGTGATGGTGTGACCCACAACGTCCCAGTCTATGAGGGTTACGCCCTGCCCCACGCTATCATGCGTCTGGACCTGGCTGGTCGCGATCTGACCGACTACCTGATGAAGATCCTGACTGAGCGTGGCTACTCCTTTGTGACCACCGGTGAGGAACTGTTCAATAACTAAATACCAGAAAGAAAGAAACAATCAATCAATCAATACCACTTTTTAGGCAGACATTATTTAACGAAGTGGAATCGAAATTATCAGCCTAACTTTATATTTTATTTTACAAGCTTAACTAAAGTTGACACTAGCCTGACCCACAACATCAAACATTTACGCACTATGTAAAGCCAACTGTATGCAGAGAAAAAGGACAAATAACATCTTAATGGACACAAATTGTGTTACTTAGACTAGGCATGCCATTTTCAGTTGTTAAATGTATTAACGAAGACTGAAAAAAAGATGCATCTGCGTGATAATAAAGCAAAAAGTTGATTTGTCGGCTTCAGAAATGTCTGTCCGCTGATTAATTCGTTTGCTATTACGCACACTGTGTCTGTGGGCTCCGCTCTTTGGCACTCTGAAAATTAACTTATTAACTTGTCCCCCACAGCCGAGCGCGAGATCGTGCGTGACATCAAGGAGAAGCTGTGCTACGTGGCTCTGGACTTCGAGAACGAGATGGCCACCGCTGCCTCCTCCTCTTCCCTGGAGAAGAGCTACGAGCTTCCCGACGGTCAGGTCATCACCATTGGTAATGAGAGGTTCCGTTGCCCCGAGACCCTCTTCCAGCCTTCCTTCATCGGTACGTGAAACAGTTCTTTATTTTTCTCAACGAAATATGGGGCCTTGTGCCAGTACCTGCCAATCTCTTAACAGTTGTCCCTCTCACCTGACCAGGTATGGAGTCTGCTGGCATCCACGAGACCGCCTACAACAGCATCATGAAGTGCGACATTGACATCCGTAAGGATCTGTACGCCAACAATGTGCTCTCTGGTGGTACCACCATGTACCCTGGTATTGCTGACCGTATGCAGAAGGAGATCACTGCTCTGGCCCCCAGCACCATGAAGATCAAGGTGCTTAAAACCTAATCAAACTAAAGACAAGTTTATACCCAAATTGAGTTGTTTTACTGCCAATTACGCATATGAATGCACTGCAGCCAGTTGCGTAACAGTTAACATTAGGCGGTCAGTATAATCAGTACAGCACTTTATTAATCCACTTTCTTCTCTCCTCCAGATCATTGCTCCTCCCGAGAGGAAGTACTCCGTCTGGATCGGTGGCTCTATCCTGGCTTCCCTGTCCACCTTCCAGCAGATGTGGATCTCCAAGCAGGAGTATGACGAGGCCGGTCCCAGCATTGTCCACAGGAAGTGCTTCTAAATCATTCGTCTTCATCTCCAGCTTCTCCACCATCTCCATCGCTTTCACCACCAGCTATTCGGAGATCAAACGTGGAGGAGGCTCAACCTCTGCGGCACAGCAACACTCTGCTGTCAGTGGGCTCTATGTCTGCGCTCTTGACATTCACATGCATTTTTTATTCTCTTGAAATATGCATACTAGCTGTTGTTTGTGTTGCACGGAGAAAGGCTGTGATAAACACCACTGAACCATGCATTTACCCAAAAATGTTAATAAAAAATAACAACATATTGCCCAACACATGTGAATGTAAGTGTATATACATATTGATAATTTATTAAAGTCCATTATTTGGTATTTTTGACTCTAGCATTGTTTTATGTTAGAAAGAGGGTGAAGCGTGAAAAACCAAATTCAGGTGAAAAATACAATGGAAATACTGCAATGTGGATGTTTCTAGCATTTGAAAGGTGTTGTTCAAGCTCGAATTTGCCTTCATAAACATCTGCATTTATTGTAAAATTCAATACTTAGGAGTTCCAGCACAAACTGGGAAAATATTGGGAAAAATATTCGAAATCATTATGACAACTGAGCCAGGAAGAGGCTAAACCGATTCAGCAGTAAGCACACCTACACAACTGCTATCCAATAAACCAATCTGGTCGGGTGTAGGGGGAAGTGTAAGGACGTGCTGTTGGCACGGCTCCCTGGATCATTATGAGAGAGACAGGGGGCATCTCTCTCTGTCCCATCAGCCATGGACTGCTGACTGGGGGCTGCTATGTGACAGAGGTACTGAAAGGTGACGCCTTCAAGCTCCGAGAGTTTCACTTGGCAGGAATGTGCACAGGCAGCAGCGCAGCAGCAGTAGCTCCGTTTTAGACTAAAGTTATCATTAGCATGGGATACCCGACACCCGGCTCTGAATCCTGTTGAGCTGTCTGACCTGTACGACCATCGGCGCAGCCCTGGCCCCCAGACCATCTTTAGGCAAAACCGTGTACAGTAGGGCATCCTTATATGCTTAGGCTCACCAGGTACTGGAGTTAGACTTAAAAGCACAAGAGCGCGTGCTGGGCGCGCATGCGCACACGAATCCGACACCCACAACTCCAATCTGACCTATTTTAAATGGGCGACAAATTAGAGCAACAACTAGCATTCAATGACCAACAAAGACTTTTTAGTAATGTGTCTAAGCAGCTTCAGTGCTGGAGTGTTGGAGGGAGGAAACATTTTTTTCAAAACATATCACCTCATTGTGCCCCATACAAGTTTTCATCCACTGGCAAATTCACTAATGGAAAATTAAGATATTTAAGAGGCTCTGGGAAATAAATGGGATTTTTTTGACATTCTGTGAATAAAAAGATAAACCAAATAATAAGAAAATAATGGGCCCATTAATAGGAGAGCCCTATTTAAAAGATTCTACTCGTTTGTTCAGGCTTTTCCTTTAATTTGTCATCTTATAATTAGGGATCATTTTTGACACCCGCATTATCATTATTGTATCTCGCTGGTAGCTACAGGTAGCCTACAGATAGAAGGGAAAGTTTTGGCCGATACAAGCTGATAGCCTAATTTTGGAGGCTTTAGTGGCCGATTAAAGCAGTGCCAACGCTAATTTAACAAGGAAAGTCACCCACGTAACTACATTCATATATTGAATTTCTACATAGTGTCTAAATACAACAATACAAATCATTATTTCATACCTTTTTACTATCTGATAGAGAGCCAGAGGGTTTATAAGCGCTCTAAAGAATACCTAACATACCACCCACCCGGCCACCTGTTGCGCGTGTGTTTGGCTTTTTAAAAGCGTCCCGAAGCGGGCGGAGCTAAGCTAACAGACGCAGCCTACCCTGTGTGATCACAGCAGCGCCCTGAACGCCGTCTGTTCCGCTTCTCTTTCGTGAAATCCTACCCCAGTGTAAGTATCTACTGTGCACAAAATTAGACTCTTACATCCCTGAATTTCTCCTGTAAACCCCTGCACTGTTGGAAGCGAGAGTCGATGGATTGTCAGTGAGATTTTATGTTTACTGGGCTGCGAGTGCTGACAGGCAGGCGATTATGATTAACTCCGTATGATAACAGACATCTATAAATATCAGTTGTCCTGCAAGGGTAATATGAAGAAAATGATTAACCAATATGTTGTCACCCTGTTACAGTGTAATAGCTTATAAGCTATTGTTCAAATCGGCAATTTAGTAGCATCTCATTTTAAAACACTGGGATGTTTTTTGCTAAGCAGTGAATAAATGATGCTGTAATGGCTTGTAGGTCAACAGATTATAACGCTTGTGATGTTTTTATACTGTGACTGCGGCCGACTTTTATTTTGAAGAATTCAACTGATTGCCGGAGCCAATCAGAGAGAGGGATGCTAGTGATGCCATCACGTTCAAGACGTTTCTGCACAGCTAGCGTGCTGAGGGTTGAATAATTTTTGTTAAGACAATTTTTACAGTTAGATAACGACCGAGTTCACAAGTATATCCATTATTTTTCAAAAGTGCAGTTTTAACTTCTTCCCCAGCCCAGGGAGATAAAGTAACCTCGGCTAGATGAGGAAGTAGGCGTGTTCTGAAGCCGAGGAGCCTCCAGCTGCTCTGCCATTGGTTCTAGCTGCTCCATAATACAGTTTTAAATGTCTGGCGGTGATACAAAACCTAAAGACTTGCTTATGGGGAATCAGCGTGTTTGTGAGAGGTTTGTTTAGGCTTTTAACACAATAATTTACCAATGTAGTGGGCATTACATATGTCATAGACCGGTTATGCAGGTGTCATATTAGCTTTTGGGTGAGTTTTAGTTTTTATTGGATTGCAGTCAAGAAGTTCTCAAAGGCTCAAGATGGTGACCAAGAGGATCCGCTCGGAGTACATGAAGAAATTTAAAGACCCCAAATGGGAAACCTATACTAAGTGTTATGAGGAGATGCTCAAGTACAGGCTGACCCGCAGGCTGCTGGAGCAAACGCACAACCCCTGGTTCTGGGGTGGGTCTGACAGCGACTCAGACTCTGGAGGAAGAAGTCCCCGGTCTCCCAGTAAGAACCAGGGACGGTCTGAGACAGAGGATGAGCTGGAGGAGTGTGAGGGGGCAAGGACGGAGGGACAGCAGGCGCAGCAGACCAGAACCACAGTGCTTGTTCCCAGACGGTCCCTTCGAGAGAAGGAAGAGTTGGGGGATGCATCAGCTGGACAGACTGCAGTCCACGGTAATCATGACTGAAAAGACAATACTATACTGGGATGACTACATGTTACTCTGCTGTACCATATGATGTGATTTACTCCTCAGGCTCACAGTGTGGTGGTGCCAGAGAGACTAGAGTACCAGAGGAGGAGACAGAGGAGCAAAGATCCAGCAGCAGAGGCAGTAGACACTTAACAGTTCCTCACAGAGAAGGAAGCCAAGGTAATTCAAAGCAAAAAAATACTTTACATAGTTGTTCATTCTTCAGCAATTTAAATACAGACAGGTGACAAATTAAAGGAAAAACCTGAATGCTGGGCCCCTACAGTGAGGAGGGGATCTGGTGGTCCTGTTATTTTGACATGGTCTGGCTCCACTCATCCCCTTAGAAGGAAGGGTCACTGAAAATCAATACAAAGTTTTTCTGAGTGATCACCTTTATCCTCTGATGAAACATTTCAATCCTGATGGGAGTGGTCTCTTCCAAGATTACAGTGCCCCCATCCATAGCGCAGGAGGTGTTACTGAATGGTTTGAGGATGAAAATGAAGCATATGCCGTGACCAAATGAGGGAATGTCTTTTGGAAGAATGGTGTTCATCCCTCCAGTAGAGTCCAGAGAATCAACGCCAAGGTGCATTGAAGCTGCTCTGGCAGCACGTGTTGGCCTCCTTTGTCACCTGGCTGTACATTCATAAGCCCGGAGATGGAGTTAGAATCATGGTCAAAATGAAAGAAAGAAGAAAGAATTTGAATGTGTGCTGGGCAGTAGGGTGATGAAACACTGACAACACACTTTCTTGCAGATGATCTCTCCCCAGGGAACTCACAGAATGTCTTTTTAAATTTACCAATATTATCAGGTAGATAAATTCCTAAAGAACTACAGCAGATGCTGACCAACTACTTTTCTGCTCTTTGTATGTTGGCTCTGCTTTAACCTGTGAGTATCTTCTATTTTCAGAGACAAACACTGGAGGACCACGACCACAGCAGAGCAAACCCTCTAAATCCTCAAAAAAAACTCGGCACTCTCAGCGGGTCCGGCCTGCACCATCACGGCAGCCCAGAGAGAACAATACTGAGAGCAGACATCCTTTTGCTCTGTATGGTTCAGGGGAGAAAGACGCAGACATCGCAGGAAGAAAAACACATAACATAGGCCCTGCAGCTTCAACTAATGAGGTAATCTTCCTGTGTGTTCTTCTGTGTATTGATGTTTGACAAGGTATGTCAATGGGAGCTGACAGTTGTGTTTATTTTTTTTACATAGATCCATGAGTCAGCTCTACGTGCCAAGTCCAGGCGAGAGGTGGAGCGTCAGATCCAGACCCAGAGAACCGAGCACCGCAGAGCCAAATCTGCTGATCTGGAGAAGGCCAGGAAGCTGATTCAACCTGAGTTCAACCCCTGGATCACTGAGTACATGCACTGCTTTTCTGCTCGCTCTCGATAGGACACACATGCATATTGTACATATACACACACTCATCAGAAATACAGGAGGGTGATAAATGTAAGGAAAACGCTTTGGATTTGTTGTTTGGATAAAACAAGACATTTAAAGATACCACTTTTTCTTTAATTTGTCACCCGTTTGTTACAGCAGGATGATTCCAGACAAGAATAAGAAAATAAAGCCACTTTCATCTCGAGGTTTAAATACACACACATACATGTAGAATAAAGCACGGGGCCGATGGAGTTGTACAAAGGCTCCTACATGTGTATCTTTGGTATTCAACATGTGAAACTGACAACAACTTATACTGAAATTCACCATGTGGTTTATTCCCCCAAATGTCTACTATCATGCTGTTTTTATACAGTAAAAATGATTTAATATATTTAACACGGAACATTTTACAGGGTAGTAAGACCACTGAAAGAAGTTATTTTAAGGCACTGTAAATGTATCATTGACAGATACATCTACAGTATACGGCTGAGAATGGGGAGGTTAAAATGCATTTTATAGCCATACTTTGATGCAGTCCTTTTAAACACATGCTAGATACAGTAAGATTATATTCTGTCCATATTTTTATACATGTGGGTATTGAAGGCAAAATGGCAGTGAGCCTGAAAAGATTCAGTCATATTCTCACTTAAAAAAGAAATAAAAATGTGAAAAAAAGTACAATCCATCACTTATTGTATACACATACATGCAAGGTGAAACCCACATAATCAAATTGTTTGTAATTATGCATTAGTCAAACTGATTTGGTTTAGACAGACAGTGAATTGCAGTCTCAAACTCTGTGTAACAGCAGATTTATGTGATTTGGCGGTGGCATTTTCACTTGAGCTCATTAACGCTTTCACGTTTGTTCTTTAGTTGTGTTAATGTGTGTGCACAGTAACCAATGAACCGGGTGCTAACACACTCTGAAAACAAATGTGCGTGACTGTGAACAGTGTGTTTGTGTGGTCCTGTGGATACCACAGTCTTTACACAGTGATTGAATGTGCGTCTCTTTTCATGTAAATTACAGCTAACTGAGGATCTCCTGAACACATAATAATGAGCAGTTTAAAGCTGACATTCTTAATCATCGTTGTTATGGAATATGCATTGGAACCAAAAGTGGAACCAAAACAAAAATGGGAATAAAGCCAAAGTCTAAATGACCTCTACTTAGAGCTGCTGCTAATTCACTGTTTACTGGTTGAAGCAGCACTCGCTCTAATGTACGATCGAATCCAGCAGCATTTTCACCGTCACCTTTCTTAAATAAAATTTGTACTGAATACTTTAAGTATTTAGGTTTTCATGTGATACATTTATCTTTTGAATCTTTGTATATTTATACATATATATGTTAAAGAGTTATTTGTGGACTCAAGTGGATTTTTGATTCATTGTCTTTGCATGACTGTTGAAATCAGAACCTGCTTGATCATGATCTCATCATCTCTGTGCCATAAAGGTTAGTTTTGCAACTATAGTGATTATTGTGACTGCTGTGAATATCTAGCAGATTTTCAGTATTACATTACTTGCTTTGCTTTTGTAATGATTTAGATTTTGTGTTAGGTTATACTGTAATATAGTTAAGAAAACTGATGTGTCATTTTGTGCAATATTATAATACTTTAGGTACCTGCATTGAACAGGTGTGTTTTTTTTACATGTGGGGAACTTTGACTATCTTAAAAAAGGACCAAAACAAAACAGTTAATTCCTATTTTACATCTTCATTGGTTAATGAAACCAAACTTTATCATCTACATTCTGTTCATATGGAAACATTTTAGTTTTGGTGAGGAGTTACTTATGTTTTTGTAGTTTTTCTTGGTCATGTATAGCAGACATCCGCCAAGCTAAAATATTCCTTTATACCGGGATAGTGCCATCTCAAAATATCATCCCACTCCAGAATTTTTAATCAGGGATAATATGAAGAATAAATTATGGTGGCACCAGAAGAACTGAAGTTTCAGTGTAGAGTCTGACTTTAGTCAAAATTGAAGTCAGAATGAATGGGTTTCATGAGCTTCTGAAGGACTCCACATTACAAATAAAAAGTAAAGTTACACATTTC